GTAGGAACAAATTTGGGACGCGGGTGGGGAAACCTACTCGACGAGTTGGAGGGACCAACTCGGCGAGTTGGTCTGGGTTTGGGAAACCCTAGATTCGACCTTTTGCACCCTATTTGAGAATCTTAATCCCCACCCCTCAGCCTCATTTACAACCTCCAAGTCCCAAACCCTAATCCACGAAACCCTAGTGCTTTTTTTGAGGTTGTGAGCCATTTTGAGTGATCCTTGTGTACTTTTGAAGCTTGTGGAAGAAGAGGAAGCTAGGGGGCTCAAGAGGGAGAGAGTAGATCAAGAAACTACACATCATTTGCTACATTTTCAGGTAAGCAAGTCCCAACCTTGCTCAATGGTTTCTTAGATCTCTTCTTTTCATTTCTATGAGGGTTTTTGGTCCAAGTATGTTAGCATGTGGAGAATGGACGACCCAAGTGGGTATTCTTCCAGATCTAGGACTTTGAAGGGCTATTATGGCATAAAGGTGAAAACTTTATGCCATAAGAGCCCCCATGCAAGCTCTAGGATGCCATCTTGGCCTTTTAAGCCCAAAGGGAAATGCATGGAGGAGAAAAGGCAGAAGCTTTATGTGTTATGGCAGTGCTTAGAGTATAGATCTCAGTGAATGTGCCTTAGTTTGAAGTATTCGTAGCTTGAGGACCAAGATCTAAGTCCTAAGGAGTTAGGGTTTGAGTTATAGCCATTAAGTGAGAGTATTAACGGGTAAAGCTGGAAACTTTACCCTTAAAAGGACATTTTCAGTGTATATGAGAAGTGTGAAGCTTGGATCTAAAGAGTAGGGGCTTAATCCATTGAGAAGGCCCAAACAGAACGAGGAACTCGGCGAGTCCATGGAGGGACTCGAAGAGTTTAGTTGGTTTGTCCCGATTCTGTACAGGAGGAAATCGAAGAGTCTGGGAAGGGACTCGACGAGTTGGTTTGTTTTTTCGCGACTATGAGTAGCTTGGGGACTCGACGAGTCAGGGGTATGACTCGACGAGTTGAGTCAACATAGAGCGTTGACTTTGACTTTGACTTTGACCAAAGTTGACCTAGTTTGACTTTTGATGGCATTTAGACTAGAGTATGTGATGGGTGGAATGGTCTTCTACCCCAGTGAGGACTTAAGGTTAAGATATAAGAATCCCAGACTTATCTAAGTTGTATGATGATCGGTAACTCGGGGAGTCAAGAGATCAGCAGTTCGGGGATCTTCCAGCTAGCAGCGAGAGGTTTATTTGCGGGATTCGACAGTCGTCTTGTGAGGTGAGTCTCCTCACTGTTTGAATGGGTCTACGGCCACAATGCCGACCAATTTAGTTTATGTATGAAGACCCGGTGGTTAGCCCTAGGCACTGTATGATAGAATGTTATTTCGGACCAAGGTCCGATGCCAGGCGGTGCCCGAGGAATGCTTGCATGTTAGATTATACTTGTTGTCTATGTGATACTTGTATGTGCCTGGTAGGGAGGTGAGTGTGGGCGAGGTCCCATATCTCATCACTAGCTGAGTATGCACGGGGTTCCATATTTCATCCATAGCAGAGGAGGGGTGGGGCCCATGATAGGAGAGAAGTGAGTGTGGGCAGGGGCCCGTATCTCACTATCAGCAGGAGTGTGGACGGGGTTCCACGACTCATCAATAGCAGGACAGGGGCAGGGCCCAAGATAGGCGAGGCCTTAGGACAGGCATACATCTAGAGTATGTTTCTTTATGTGCTAGTATGATTATGTGATATTGTTGTATGCGTATAGCGAGCGAGGCCCAGAGACAGGCGGGGCCTATGAGAAACAGATATGTATACTTAGCGGGGCTCGATGCCAGGACGGCGGGGCCTGATGTCAGACACTGTCTGATGCCGGGCGGGACCCGATGTAGGGGCGAGTGCCCAGTACACGTGGTTATGTGTATGGTATGTGGTAGTATGGGGATCTCACTAAGCTTCGTGCTTACGGTTTTCAGTTTTGGTTTCAGGTATTTCCAATTGTAGAGAGAAGTGCCTGGGATGACTGCATTGTACACACCAAGATGTTTTAGCTTGGGATGTTTACTCTGATGTTTGATACTATGATAATAATGTTTTGAGATATTTTGGCTATGTTTTGATGAAATGATTTGATAACTATGGTTTTATTTAATGATTTAAAATGAAAATTTTGGACCGTATTTTTGGAATGTTTCAGAGTTGCACGTTGATCCTAGATTGAGGTAGAGGCGGTGGATGGAGGGACGAAGGAGGAGATCGATGCGGAGATAAGAGAAGAGAAAGAGGAAGAGAAGAGAGAAAAAGTAATTTGGGGAATTTCTCTAATTTAGTAATTTATGTTGTATTGATTATTTGTAATGTTATTGTTTCTATACCAGATTTACCCTCAATGTATACCGAGAAAAACCTAAACTGCCACTAAGTTAAGTTATAATTACACTCATGCCACAATTCATCCGAGCCTTTTATATTTTTGATCCAACGCTCCACCTTTAGTTCTCAGGTTCTCGGGAAACTATAATTATCAAATGATCCTTCCTCTCTCTCTCTCTCTATATATATATATATATATATATATATATATATATATATATATGGGCTTAAGGAATATGTGGTTGTTATGTACCTAAGTTTATATATAGAACCCTCCAAACAATGTAGTTTTGATCTATATATATATATATATATATATATATATATATATATATATATATATATATATATGGGAAAAGGGAATATACATTACAGCTCCACCTAAGCTTAGGTACTAAACCTCTTGACAATACATTGTTTTACTATATAAAGATTACGGTTAATGGATTCACGATTAATACTTCAAGATGTAAATTCAAGATCGACACAATAGGGTTTAGGGTTTAGGGTTTAGGGTTAGGTTTTAGGGTTTAGGGTTTAGATTAAGGGTTTAGGTTTAGGGTTTAGGGTTTAGGGTTTATGTTAGGGTTTAGGTTTAGGGTTTAGGGTTTAAATTTAGGGTTTAGGGTTTAGGTTTAGGGTTTAGTACTGTTCACTTGGGTGAAGTAATAAACGATAATTGAGGAAAGAAAACAGAGATGGTAAAACGATAATGAAAGAAAGAAATGTTATGGAGGATGATATATTTACCAAGTGAAACCAAACCGGGTATATTTAGCATCTTAAAACAACATATTTTAGATGTTTAGTACCTAAGCTTAGGTGGGGCTGTAATGTATATTCCCTATCCTATATATATATATATATATATATATATATATATATATATATATATTATATATATCTATATATATATATATATATATATATACGGTCATGATCTTTTACAAACCTATATTTTCCCACGAACTACTCTTAAACTGCGAACTTTTTTGTGTGATATTTTTTTCAAAAAAGTTTCATAAAACACCTAATCGGTCCTCTAGAAGCATATTCGAAAAAAAAGTTCTCTAAAAATGTGCATATACGATAGGTGCATATATGCACAAACGTCACAAAATCATAAAGTTCATAAAAAATGCAAATTTGCACATTTTTTTCGACATTTTTTTTGCGAATATAGGAAAGATTTGGTGATGTCACTTTTTTTGAAACAAAAATGATCACACAAAAAATTTCTCATTTTAAGAGCGCTTTTTCGAAAAATATGAGTGAACAAAAGAATATATATATATATATATATATATATATATATATATATATATATATGACACATATAATAATATCAAATATGTAAAAATAATAATGCCGATACTATTAATAATAACAATAACATTCATTATATAATAATAGTGTGAAATATATTATTATGATAACGAGACAATGACAAGAATGACGATGATGATGACTACTGTGAGATATATTATATGAGTTAAGGAAGGGTGATGATCGAATAAATGAGGCCAATAAGTAGACCAATTGAGAAACTTGTTTATATACGAGAGTTCATGTGTTTAAGCCATGGAGGAGGGGAGACATAGATGGTCTATCAGTTGCGTAGACATGATTTTGTTTTAGGACAAACCAAATAATTTACAAAATATGAACAAGTGTCACGATATTTCAAATGGTAACAAAATGTAACAATGTATGATTTTAAAGTAAATTGTTCATGTAAGTTGGAAATAAGTGATTAGTTAAGATAATAAAAAAAATATTAATATACGTACCTGATGAACGAAGAATTCATTGTGAAGATTGAAATGCAATTTAATCTATTTAAAAAATTGTTGTCTCAATTCTTTAGTTGACGATCCTTCAACATGTAATTTATTTCTTTCATTATGAATTTAAGTTTTGAATGTGGTAGTCATGCCACAATTCACAACCTTAGTCTTTTTTAATCAAAAGAAATATATATATATATATATATATATATATATATATATATATATATATATATATATATATATATCACTTCAAATTTATGTGACAGTGGAATGTGTGACTTCCGCCTCTTTTCCTGTTCCTTGTTTGGTTGTGGACTTAGGACATAATCACCCAATCGACTGCCGGTTCAGATCTTAGTTATGAATGATTATATGAATATGTTTGGATATGGCTCTGCTATTCTGAAATAGAACAACTATTTCAACAGAGGAAGAACTTTGAGATCAACTCAAGTCTTAAACACTCAAACTTAACTTGTTTATTTCATATGGGCAAAATCCCTATTTATAGGCTCAAGAGAGCCGGTTACATAATTGAGTTGCAATCGTTTGATTGCAATACGACATATATATTTACATTATAGCCCCCTAGACTATTGAGGGACTTACATACTTTATGTTACATCACAAATAATACAACCGACACTTAATCTTATCCTACCGACACCTTTTAAACAATTATATTAATAAAAATAACAATCCCTTCCTCATTGGGGGGGGGGGGAAGGATTTACTGTTACACCCATATAACTACACCATTATGTATATCGATGAAATAATAATAATAATAATAATAATAATAATAATAATACGACAAACTTTCAACAAATTCATGGTATACAGTTTATCTTTAAAAATGACATTTTCGTTGAATTACGCCGTTTTTCGTTGGTACCTTCCAACGAATACCAAAGGATTTTGTTTTGTCGCTAGCTGTCGCAAATCCGACACTTAGGGTTCGTTTGGTTCGCTGGAATCTGTTGGAATCGGAAGGAATTGAAATTTAATTTCATCACTTTCCTATGTTTGGTTCAAGTTTTAAGAATGAATTGGATTCCTAAATGTGTCCAACTTTTCTTCCATTGAGGGAAAATAAATTCCATCTAAAAGATGAGGAAATTCAAATTCCTTCAAGTGGGAATGTTGAAGATTACCATATTACCCTTTTCATTTTAACATTAATTATGAAAAACCTCCGTCACTACTCGCGACCACCTCCACCACAACCTTCGCCACCACTACCCACCATCTCCACTACCACCCACCACCTCCACCACCACCACCTCCACCACCCACCCACCACCACCACCAACCATCACCACTGATATCATCGTCACTGCCACCCACCACTACCACCGCTTTCGTTACCACCATCACCGCCATCACCATCGCTGCCACCACTACCACCACCACCATCACTACCACCACCACCTATAACCTTCGTTACCACCTGCACCACCACCTTACCAATATCATTGTTACTACTAACTCTATCATCACCACCACCATCGTCGCCGCCACCCGCACCCACCACCACCACTGACATCCACCACCACCATCGCCGCCACTAACACCCACCGCCACAGCCACTACTGCCTCTACCATCAACACTAGTGATGCCACTACTACCACCACTTCCACCATTTTCACCACCACACACTGCCGCCATCACCACCACCGTCGCTTCTGCCACCATCGCCGCCACCACCACCACTGTTTACAATTTTTATAATTTTTATAATATATCTTTACATATAATTATAAAACAAAGTAAAAATAAGCAAAAACCAAGAAGGGTAGTTTTGTCATTTTTATACTATTCCAATTCCATTTTCACCCAACCAAACAAAAGATAAAATTAGATTCAAATTCCATTTACTGCTAACCAAACAGACTATTGAATTAAATTCCAATTCAAGACAGATTCCAATTCCTTAACAGATTGCAATTCCTTCAAAAACATTATGTGAACCAAATGCCGCCTTATTTAAGTTTTTTTTTCTTGTTTGTATTCCTTTGGTATTTCTGACATATTTTATTATATTGGTTATTTTTCATATGTAATTTTCACAGTTTTTAGTAGTTGCCTGTTTATATGTTTAAAATGGTGTGTTTATATTAGTAACAACTAACAAGTTGACAATTCGGGATATAATTTATGTAAAAAACCATTTTCGTATATAAATAGACAGAAAATGAAACATAATTTAATAAATTAAGTTGTATCTAAATCTCAGAAATAAATTTGATTGAAAATTCATCTTAACATAGATATTGCAATTTACTATAAAGCTTTTTTATAAAGAATGTTTTGACTTTTTAGAAGTAATACACAGGTTTATCGGGACAATGAACATTATCAGCACTGTACTAATAAAGAATTGAAAAAGGGTTTTAAGACTTGAAAAATTCAAACTGTCCTGTAACGTCCTCCAATAATTGTCTCCATTATTTTCTCTTTGGGATTATATAAACTGTTAAACCAGATCATGCGAAATCAGAATGGATCATAACATAAAAAAGAAATAAAAAAGAAACTTTTGTGGTTTTTAAGAGAACTTAAGTTGGTCAAAAGAGCCATGTAACAAAACCATATCACGGGAATTCAGATAAAACTTCTCGGGGAGTCGGCCACCTTGCCGTGTTTCTCTATAAGGTAGCTCCATTTCTGTTCCCCATTCCCACTTTTTGAGCTGCAAACACCCCCCCCCCCCCCCCCCCCCCCCCCCCCCCCCCCCCCTCTCTCTCCGGTGATCGATCTGATACACAGAATCCTTCATCTCTTTAGTGATATTCAGATATAACTCTATTATAAGTCATCCATCTCTATCTTATAAATGATCCGAGTCTACTTAGTTATCTCTCACCTCGGCAGCTTTATGCTTTCAGGTAATCTCGAAACCCGATGTTTAAAACACATGAATTCTTTTGGAAAATTTATGATTTCTTTATCTCCTATAGGCAAATATTACCTGGTTTTTGGGAGGCCTGCATATATTATATGCATGAAATGTCTTTTGGTCTTGTAATTCAATATTTAGAATTAAATATTCATAAACAAAACGAAATCTTTGTTGTCTTTTGTCGTTTAGTGGAGCATGCATGCCGGCAATTAAAGACATAGATTTTGTCTTTGCTTATATTTTATTATCGCATTCTTTGAGTTGTATCGGGTAGATAGTAATAGAATTATCGTATCATTCGTAGTAGTTACCTAAAAAGTCCAACTTTTTGTTTGCCTGTTGGTTTGTCTTTCGATTTCTCTTTGCAGAGAACTAATGGAGGCCCAACCTCCAGCTGGGAGTGGTGGTGGTGCTCGTGGTGGTGGTGAGATGAGGAAAGTCCACATCGTTTATTTTCTTAGTCATAAAGGACGCATCGAGCATCCACATCTCATACGTGTTCATCATCACTCGCGCAATGGAGTTAGATTGAGAGGTTAGTAGTTACTGTTATCAAATCATGAAATAGAAATCGTAGTGATGTGTACAATCGATCTGAGACTCTATTTTCTTTCTTTTAAAATTAATGATGATGAAGATATTAAGAGATGGTTATCGGAGCTACGAGGGAAAGACATGCCAGAGAGCTTTGCTTGGTCATACAAGAGGTTTTTTCACCTTATTTTCTCTCTTTTTAAGGATCAATTCAACATATGGGATTTACCTAGGATTTCAAGAATCCTCATTCATTTGATGCTAACTTCCATTCTATGAAAATGTTGTCTGTAACCTGATGACTGATGAGTGTTGATGTGATTCTTGTAGAAGGTACAAGGCTGGATATGTATGGCAAGACTTACTGGATGAAGATCTTATAACCCCAATCGCTGATAATGAATATGTCCTTAAAGGTTCAGAAATTTCCTCCATCACTATCACTAATGGTAATTTTCGTTTTTCTTTGTTAGAGTTTTGATTATTATTCACCATATAAGTCCCAATAAGAGGGTTGGGCTTGGAGTAATGGGTTAAAACACTTCAAATTTATGACATGTTATATATATGTTGAATTGAGCTACAATACTTTTCGTGTATTTTTTTTTGGTATATCACAAAAAGCTAATAATTCTAAATAAGATTCACATAGTTCTTGTTAAGAACAATAATCCAAAATAAGACAATTTTCAAGGATGTAATTACTACCCAAACATTTTTAGTATGACCCTAATTACCTTGTTAGCTAATTCTTTAAAATCCTCCTATTTCACTAGGTAGCAATAAGATACTATCCAAATCCACTCATTTACATATAAAATTGTTGAGATTAAACCTTCCCATTCCCCTAGCATACAAACTAGGATCAGCATTCAGTTCAACCAAGCTTAGAGTTCTCTAAATACATAGAATCTTAATGTTCAATGTGGTATCACAGATCTTAGTTCATATGGAGAAGAAGAGGGGTCCAAGCCAAAAAGCTCCCCCTCATTCAAGGTTGACATCAAAGATCCAACAATCTCTTTAGTGAAAGAAACAGAAGAGAATTCAATCAACTCATCAACAAAAACATCATTTGAAATTGAAGAACTTCCTTCGTATGGCTCTGAAACTTCAACGGAAGACACAACAAAGCAGCAAGAAGATTATCAATTTCTTGGCCCATGTAAACATGCAGAAGTGCGAAGCCAAAAGAAAACTGAGCTTGATTCCTTATTTGATAATTACTTGAACAAAAACAAGAACGATAATACAAACAAGAAGGATGGCAACCAGAAAGAAACTAGTAGTTCCAAGGCCTCCCCATCATTAAATAATTCGTGTGGAAGATTGGGTGCATCTCATATGTTTCTGAATTTGCTCACGTGTGGGATTGTGGACGCCAATGAATCAGCTGTGACAGTAATCAACAGAAGAAATAGTACATCTTCTATGATGAATGTAGCTTCCAGTAAGGATAAAAATATCGGACAAGTTGTAAAAGGAGACAAAATTGGGGGATCTGAAAGGGTTTTCAGAGGCCATTGGCCCACTTTAGAGCAACAAAGAGAGAGCAGGTAAATGATCAGAAAGCTTAATCATAATACCCTTCAATTCTCTCCTTAATTCTTTTTGGTTCTTGCTCTTGTGTTTTTTTCAAATTTGAATGCTTCAATAATCATAAATTATATATGTTTTGTACAGGAAGGAGGGATCAAAGAAGAGTTATAACCTCAATGACTCTAATAACAAAAAGACATTTCCAGTTGGTTATAAGTTTGTGAATGGCCCTTATTGCTCGTAAGTTCAATTCTTAATCTCAACATCATCTCAAAAGAAACATATAACAAAATAAATTTTAAAGTATAGTTTATGTTAATTTCCAATATTCTTGAAATTCATATCTAATTGATGCATGATGCATCAAAACCAGTAGGAACAGCCACAATCCGATTATGAATGATGGCAAACATTTTGTATTTTTGATGCAGGCAATGTGGGAGGCAATTCAATCCTGAGAAACTTCACACCCACATGATGTCATGTAGAGGAATGAAATCTTTGATTAAGGCTGTCAAATCGAAGTTCTAAAGCTGCTGGCCACAATCCAAAACATTAAATCATCACTATTTCAAGCTTTAACTTGACATATACACACACATTTTAGTTTCTTTTATAGGATTTAGACACTAGTTATTGATTACTCTTACAGATAATTCTGTAAAGAAGTTTTCTTTTAACAATCTCCAAATCTCTTCAATGTAAAATCTCCCCCAAGTAATGCATAGCAGTTAATTCAGAAAGTTGCATAAGAAAATGTTGACTAATGCTTCTGCTTCTAAACTTTTGTCTTCAGAGGTTTCCGAACTTTTAAAACTGGCTAATCTTCATAGACTTAGAGACTTATGTTCAGAACCTTTATGGTACTGAAGAACATTGTTGATAATGCTCCTACACCCTATTTTGCATTGAATTATTTTGTTGAAGCTACTGCAACCTTTTAAGTAAAAGTATTTATGTTATGCAGGTAGTATTTTATTAAGAGTTTTCCAACTACAATGGTTATTGTTAAACAAATTATGAAATGCGGTATTCACAAAACTAATTCATACAAAGTTCTTTAACAACGAGATTTCTTGCTCTATTGATGGTCATGAAACACAAGTACAAATGCTCCTCTAACTCATCAAGTTGTTCACAGAAACTCAAATCAGTCTTCTTCAATTGTCGACCAAATTCTTCAACACTTTGAACCCGATTATGTCCCCTCTTGAGCCAAAACTTAGTCGTTGCTTTCATATGCTCAAGCTCATCATTAAGTCGACCAACAAGTCGACTCACGGTGTCCAAATCCCTATTCAATATATACATCCCCTTAGCCGCCACATCAAGCTGAGCCGATAGCTTAGCCAACTTACCACTCGAACCCAACCCCATTGCTGCCACTACCATCCCGGGAGCCGCCACCATAACCGCTAGACCATGAGTTACGATGATTACAGTCAACGAAACGGTCAAAACCACTAGAGTAACCGCGGATCCATGCTTGATCTTTTTGATCCTTTGAAGCTTCATTTGAGCCATGTCACGGCTCAATTCGAGCCGTTTTAGCAACTTGAAACATGCAAGTTGAACCGCTTGGACGCCTTGAGACGATTTAGGGACTGTGAATGGGTTAACCGAATTTGAAAAGTCGGTTAACCGGGCTTGTATGATCTTAAAATTGCTAATGAAAGAAACTTTTGTAGTTTCAATCGATTTCAACGCGTTTTTTAGCGAACGATAGTTCGATCTTAGTCGATCAACATCTTGTAAAAGTGCCCCACAAACGATAGAAGCGTTTGCGGTTTCAGTGAAGTAATCGGACAAAAGGGTGTGGTTTTTTGCATGGTGGTTAGCCATGGCTAGGATTTGAGTGACCGTTGGTTGATCAGGGTCTAGGAGGTTTTCAGCAAATAGTCGATAGGATGGGAGTCGAGCTGCAGTGACTGAACTAAGAGTTTTGTTTATGGTCGAACCACCATGGGTCGAGTCGAGGACTCGAGTCCAGAAGTCGATGTATGATTGGGTTCTGAACGTATTGGCATACTCTTCACGAACGTCGATTTCAAGTGAACTGCTCGATGAGGTGTGTTTGACGGCTACAAAAATGATCAAACTAAGCAAAATAAGTACATGACAACGTTTTCTAGAACATATGTTAAATCTTTTTTTAGTTTATATATGCAATTAAACGTGATTTTGGACAACACATGGTTATTCGAAAATGATTCGTAGGTAACAATGTTTTTCCATATAATAATTTATGTTTTAAAATGTTGTATAATAAATTGTTATGTATGGAAAAAAAATTGTTATTAGTTATTTGGTAAAAAATATTTAACTTCTTACATAATTTTGCCTAGTAAATACATAAAAAAACTCCTTGAAGAAGCATTTAATCCTTAATTAAAGTAAGTAATTTCGGGCCGGCTACAATGTTATATATTTTGTTGTGAAAATAAAATATTATTTAGTATTTTGTTTAACATCAATTTGCTGCATAAATAAATAAAAAGAGACATAATATTGTTACAAAATGGATATCTAATTTTTTTTTTCTAATGATTTGCCACACAAACATGTGATTTGTTAGACCTGACAATCTTTGTATATGTGCCCAACAATATTTACAAGGCGCAAACAAAACATCAACGGTAAAACGTGTCGTGAGCATCAAACACGAACACGATAACCAATTCGTGTGACGCGTGATAGGACACAAATTAATAGACACGTTTTTAACCGTGTTATGCGAAAACACGAATAGACACATTTCACTTGTAAGACGGAAATTTGTTTATACTTGTCACGCGTCAATATGAATTTGTTTATATGTGTCATGTGTTGACACAAATTTACACGAATATATGTGTTTTATACGTGTTACATATCGATACAGATTTGTTTCGTGTCTTATACGTGTTTAAACAAGTAAATTCGTGTTTGACAATTTAATACACAAAACACGAATTTAAAATACGTGTCGATAAAAATAAACACGAAACATGGATTTCTAAAACACATATACGGAAAACTCGTGTCGTGTATTGAATGATCAGGTCTAGGATTTTTCTATTTATTTAGGGTTCTATTCAAGAAATAATGATATATTATTGTGATTTATTTAATATATTATCTTACTTCATTTCGTTTTTTGGTCTTACCTTGTTGTATTAATTTAAAAAAAAAATCTATTTATTTTAATAATAACAAAGTATTTCTTTTTTCTGTGGTAGTTGATTTTTGAATGTATAATGTTATAGTATAAAATTACAAACTAGACTGATTTTTTTTTTCAAAATAAATAATCTGAAACACGATATTGTATTACTAAAATGAAAGTATGATGCTCTAATATACAAAGGAAACGACATTCATTATTATTTTTTGCATTAAACTTTGTATATTAACATAATTTTTCCAAACTAATTAACTTATCTAGTTTGAAATTAAGGTGTTTTGGTGAAGGCTAAATATGATAAGTATTGTGAAATTACGTACCATTGCAAGATGATAACTTGATCGTCGGCATGCATGTCTTAAATCTCATCGTGACTTCGTGAGTGCAGTTAGGATCGTGTTCCAATGGAAAACCCAAAAAATGGGAAGAAATGATGCAGTTTTTGGATTCAAATTCGCAAAAAATATTTAAACAGGAATTTATTGTAATTGAAGAAAGAAGTTGAAGACATAAATTGAGGTTTTTTTATAAGTGGGGAGAAGCCTTTGTTCTTTTGGTTTGGTCTTGCTTGGAAGCATTAAAAGATTGATTTTCCTTCCAAAGCTTATGGTGAAAGTGAAGAAGCCTTATCCATTTTAACATGATTTCTTTTCATTTTACCAAAAATAGCCTTATACGATAAACCAAATATAGGTTTTTATTTTTCTTATATAAAATACTATATTGAAAAACCTATGCATTTATAGTAGTAACTTCCAGTTGAAGTGAAAGTATAATGTTATGACATAAAAAATTAAAGAGAAATTAAATACTATGATACCTAAAAACAATATATATAGTAATTTTTTAGATGTAGATTTACAACAAAATATTAAAGAACCTATAAACCATGATATCTTGTAATAATTGCTAATGGATAATATGTAAATTTATCGTAAAATGTTTCTATGAAAAGTTACTATTTTTTATATTACCCAAAACAAAAGATTGCTATTTTTCGTACTTTCTGTTACTTTAGTTGGAAGAGAGGATGCAAAGAATGAGATTGATAAGCGACGTCTAAGACAACTTGAAAGCAATGTATTCGATTTGGGGGTACATGAACTCCAATATATAGTAACATCTTTGTCAACCGACAAACCTTATATGTCTTTGTTGACAATGTATTTTCCAATAATTCCAAATTAGTATTCCACCACCAAATATAAAACAATATATAGAAAAGGGCTCACTATTAGTGCGTTACAATAACAACGGTCCATACTACAGAACACACAAATATAATACATATAAAACTACATGCAGGGTACATCCTCTCTTGGTTGAAACGGAAGACTGAGAACGAACATTTAAATTGGATCTGAAGTCAAGAAACAGAGATGAAGGGAGCCATTTGGTGAAGATATCAACATACTTAGAGAGCGAATGGAGGTGAAGTACACAAATCTGACCCATAGCGACCTTTTCTCGCACAAAATAAATGTCAATCTCTATGTGTTTGGTATGTTGATGTTGAATCTGATTGTTGGATAAGTAGACATCTCTAACATTATCATAGTAGACTTTAGTGGTTGAAAGGTGAAAGTAGAGCTCGCGTAACAGATTGTGAAGCCAACATATCTCAGCAACGACATTCGCAACACCTTGAAACTCAGTTTTGAAACTTGACCAGTAGATCGTTCCTTGTTGCTTGGATGATAAAAAGAGAAGGCTATGTCAAAGGAAATCACAATATCCCGAAGTGGAACGTCTATTAGTTAGACAGCCTACCCAATCAGCATTAAAATAGCTAAATATTGTAATGTGCCAACAAGGCTCATATATAGAGTTGGATCAACTATTGGAGATTTGATGCCATCAAACTTAGCTGATGTATCAGAAGGAGTGCGATCAGGTTTGCAGTTAACAATCTTGGCCTGCTCAAGAATCTCGGTGGTATATTTCTTCTGAGATAAGAACATGCCATGGTGTTCTCTACTGACCGCAACACCGAGGAAGAAATTCAGAGAGCCCAAATTAGACATCACGAACTCTAGGCATAGAGTAGTAATAGTCTACTGAAAGAGTCTGGTCGAGGAAGCAGTCAAGATAATATCATCTACATACAGTAGTAGGTAAGCAATATGTGTACCCTGTCTAAAGATAAAAAGTAACGAATCTGATTAGCTGTTGATGAAGCTATAACTAGTAATGAACTAAGCAAATATGTAGTACCACACTCGAGGAGCCTATTTTAAACCATAAAGAGACCTCAAAAGAAGCTAGACATGATCTGGAAATGAGCGGTCACTAAAACCTGGTGGTTGATACATTTATATAGTCTCTTGAAGATGGTCGTGAAAAAAACTCATTCTTCATAACTAACTGTAACGCTCGTAGATCCGGGCTAGTCATTTTAGAGATAATAGGGGTCGAAAACGACTTTTTGACAAAAGATTATTTAGAATAAATAATCTTAACCAAGTTGTAGAATACGTCTCAAGGGTTCCGTACATATAAAGAACGTTGAAATCCGAGTTATAACGAATAAGTTATGGTTCATCGAAGTTTTACGGCAAAACCGGCACGACACCGGGAGACGTAAATAGTGAATTTACGATGGATGACTTTTTAGCCTTAGAAATCTAAACAAAAGTTGTAGTATACGTTAAACCGAGAACATACAAAAAACGAACGCCCAAATCTGACTTCGTATGAGGAAGTTATGAATTTTCTAAGATTTGGCTTAACAGTGCACAGCCTGAAACTTGAATTTTAGATCGAGCGGTTTTTGGCCTACGCGACCTAATGAGAATTGAAGATCTCATTAATAGGAACTCAACGGTAAAAAGACAGACGGAAACAGAGTCCGTATGTAGAAGTTATGAATTTTACGCGGACATTTAACAATATAATCTCCTCGTAATGTTAAATTTAAGATTGGTCGAGAATTAGCCGACGAAGTCAAAATGAAAGTTTTAGATCTTATTTTTACCTACGCGTGGATATAAATAACGTCAAAAACGGAGGTCGTATGTGAAAGTTACGGATTTTAGAAGTCGGAAGTGTGCTGTGCGAAAATGGGTGATGTGGCACAATCTTGGCCATTGCTTTCTCCCAAAGTCTTGCCACTAGATGGTGACATGTGGCACCAAGTTCAACCATTTTTCACCCTATAAATAGAACCTCTCCCACTCTCATTTTCTTCACACCTTTCCCATTCTTTCTTCTCTTTACGCTCTCTCTACAACCTCTCTCTAGCCACGACCCCCCCCCCCCGAAAAGCCTAGGGAACCTCCCTAGCACGAGGCGGAAGCCCCGGAGTGCTCGACGGCTCCGAGAAGAAGAGCTTTTCGGCTCGGGAACGCTGCTCCAAGCAAAGTCCGGTTTTCTGTAAAACCCGCTGTAAGCGAACTACACCTACGCTATTTTTTTAATATAACTTTTATTTAATTATAGTAACGTTATTAGGAACTTATAATAAATACTTGGGCTATTATTATGGGTTATATAAGTATTTTTTAACGCTTATATAATAGTAATAATAGCTAGACTATTAATTAGTCTCGGCGAATAATATACTAAACTCTAGTGGTAATAATACTAGGTTTCGTCGAAGGAAATTATTTTTAAGAAGCGAAGCGCTGTCTGAGTTCGGAATCACCACCTTTTCAAGTGAGTGCATGGTCCCTTTCATCTTACACATAGATATGAAGTATTTAATATAAATTACGTGCTATGTGTGCATATTGTCTGAATACTTGCTGTCTATGCTGGGTGAAATATTTTTATACACGTTTTAAATGATTTAAATTGTATATGTATTTTACATCTACAAAACGTGTTGGGTAAAACATGGGTAGATGTAATTGTTGTTGTGTGACCAAATAAAATAATGAGAGGCCTCGATATAGATGTTATTGATGATCCAGTCATCTAGCGGAGTATAGATGACGACCACAGACTATTCTAGACAGTCCAGTGGAACGCTAGCAGGCTCGCAACCTGTAGGTGTTTATTTGAACTGTGTGCTCACCAGCAGTACTTCATCCCCCACATGGTTGCCTTATTTGACATGAATTGTTGAGGAACCCCCGAAGCATGTGTTGTCACTCCGATGAAAGTCCCTTAGACTAGGTCCCTTGTGTTAGATGTTTTAGGGACGTAAAGTGAGGATAACGGGAACGGGTAATCGGGTTTGTTTGGTTTGATAAAGTTAATAAACTTATTTATTGTGGGTTGAAAACCCTATGTACTCACCAGGTTTCCCAACCTGACCCACTCAGTTTATTTATATCACAGGTGTTGATATGAAGTCACATTACACTGAGAGATTAAGGAGATATAAATCACTAGTGATAATGAATGTAAGTTCTGTTTATGCTTATGCTTCTGTATTGACGATGACATCCCAAATGTTTTAAAATGAATAAAAATACTTTTCTTCGGAAATGCTTTGATAACGTATTTATCATGTTTTACTGGGAACAAATTCCGCAACATTTTTATTAAAAGATGTACTCTGATTTTTATAAAGCATAAACAAAATCGGTCTTTTCTGGCCGTGAAAATGGGGATGTCACAGTTGGTATCAGAGCATTAGTTTAAGCGAACTAGGAATATGGATTTATTTCTAGACTTAAACTTAGAATGCTAAGCAAGGATTGTGAGGAGTGTGTCTAATAAAATTTAGGTAAAACACCTGAATAGACACAAGCACTAGCTAATTTAGGGAAAATGCCTAACATGCTTTTATGTGCTAAATGATTTATGATATGCATTGTATGATCGAATCTATGGTCTGTTGCCGACCGGATCTAGAAACTTTATGTGTTCAGATTTCTAAACGTTTAATTACGGTATTAGAACTGGCATATAACTTTTCGGAGAAATAGGTAGAATTACACGTCGATTGTAAATAAAATCTTCCCTATCTTAATTCTCGTCATTGCACACCGAACGTCTGATTTGGTATATAGATCGAAATGGCAAGAACCCGTAGTGGAGCCGGGAATGCAAATGGGAACAGGAATCAACCACCAGTGATTGAACAAATACCTGTTGTAGCAGATGCTCCTGAGCCAATTACAATGGCCGGAGTACAAGCCATGATGCAGGCTATGTTGGCTGAACAACGGGAAGAGATGAGGCAAATGTTGCATGAAAATAGGGATGAACCTACAATGCCAGTTGAACAAAACCGAATTGAACGATGGGCAGTCAGAAGGAGGGAACTACAGTGGGACCGTTGGTTAAGCCAACCCACCAATAGTTCGACAAAACAACCAGTATGACGGAGTCGATAGGAATGGATGCAAGTATAAGGATTTTCTGACTTGAAATCCATCGACTTTCACTGGAAAGGAAGATCCGATCGGAGTCATGGATTGGATCTCAGAGATGGAGTTATCTTTCATGACGTGTGGTTGCAGAGGCAAGTTACAGACCACCTTTGCAGTACGTCAATTCTGAGGAGGTGTTGTACGCTGGTGGAATACCCTG